CCTTCTTTCTGAAGAAGGGTCTAGGCCCAAAACGTCAGCCTTCCTGCTCCTCTGATGCTGCTTGGCCTGCTGTGTTCATCCAGCTCTACACCTTGTTATCTCTCTTTGTTTTTATAAGCTACTTGCACAGCACAATGTAGGATACATCATGTTGCAGTTGCAGCCACAGGATAGCTGATACACTGGAATTGTATTCATCAAGGCCAGGGCTTGGATTAAGCAACCTAGAGGGAGCATTGTTTTCGGCTTTGGGATCAAATAAGTTTTTTTCAAAAAGAGAAAGATGATGGAGAAATGGATGAGAAGAACGAAGTGCAGTGGGGAATGGAGGAAGCAATAAGATGAGCACTGTGTTCTTACTGAAAGATGAATCTCTATTAAATATTTCCAGGACTTCAAGCATGTATCATTCGCCATTTGCTAAGTAATGGTTGTTTGTATTTGTGGAAGTACAGCAGTGGTAAATTGGTTTAGTGCCTCTAAAATAGTGAGCATAAATGTAAAACAACAGTTCTACCATCATAGGAGGAAATAGGAAGCCTGCATGTTATTTTAGGACTGAAATTTCAATATTCAAAATCTTTATTTATAGTTGGTGTTGTGGTGCTGTTTGTTATATGATGAGAATATCTTATCCATGAAAAAAATCACATTTATTAATTTGCAAGCCACAAATACATTTTGTGTTTTGTTAACCAGTCTGAACTGGAACTGGTGAGCAGAATGGATTTTGTCCACAATCTAAAGTAGATATAGTCAAACTGCACTTACATCTTTTAACTGGTATTTCACTTTAGACTCTGGGGAATTAAACATTTATATATACCAAGATCCAGAGTTTACTGCCAGAGTTGCTCATTTCCTTCAAGCTGTTTCGTTTCTTTCTGAATCAAGTTGGTTATGATGGTGAAAAAAAGAGGCTAAAAGAGAGCAGTTTAAGATAGCCAAGTCAACAGGCCTACGTGGGCTAATTTTTTTTTAAAAAAGCTAAGCTAAGAATGCAGAGGTTTAAATGATTACAAACACAAGTTCTTCATGAATCGATTGAGGATCAGATTTTAAAAAAACCTAATAAATGAGGGAGAATGGGGACAAAATTGTGTTTTTCTCAATCGCTGTGGAAATGTTGGACTGCACATGATCCTTGGGGAACGCACAGTTCCAGGCACTAATGTTATCACGTAGACTTTACTGTGCACGTGCAATAATGCATTTGCTCCTGATGTTGCACGTAAAGTGTGCATGATGAACTGTAATTCACTGGTGAGCAGATAGGGGCGACAAGCAGAGCCAAGGACCAGGGAGGCCCTCTTTCCCCCTCTGTCTATGGTGCTCCCCCTGACTCTTTCCCTAACCTCCCCACCCCATCTGGTTCTGTCCTGGATCTTGATCTTCCGCCACCCCTTCCCGTTCTTCCCTATCTCTATTCCCCACCACCACCTGGCTTTAAACCAGGTAACAGACGATGGGAGGGGACAGGTGATACTTCTATTTTTTAAAAAAAGGCTACCTACCTTTCTCCCCCTACAAGTGTATCCTAGGACCAATACCTAGCCCCATTCCAATCCTGAGTTCAATGACTTTTCTTACCTTTCCTTTTCCTTCACCCTCTGAACAGCTGCTGCTGCTGCTTGAGGAGCTTGAACTTGAAGATGTATCTTTACCTTCTTCCTTCTGCAAAAAAAACCCAGTAAGGATCAGAATCAAAATACTCTTCCATCATTTCAACCTGTTCAGTTAGCAATGCCAGAAATGTAATGCTAATATTTTTGCATCACCATTCATGAGTCAGCACAGGGATAATTTTCTTTCCCCATGATTTAATTCCCACAAACTCAATTATCAGGGAATGCAGTTATGTAACAATACAATGTGTGTGTGCATTGACATGAGGTATGTTGACCCTTGATAATCAAATCTTCATTAATGCTTTCCTTGGATGTGGTAATTTTTAATGTCCTAGATTATAAATTGGTACCGGCCAATTGGCTTGATTCACTTTTTTTCTCAAAATAACTGACACGTCTACATCTAAAAAGCTATCACATTTAAATACATATTCCACAGACTGGTGAGGTCGCGGCTAATGTAGTTCTATCACATGCAAAAAGCTGGAACATCATAAGCAGGACATTACTATCTTTTTACTGTATCCTGGATCTAAATCTAACTATTCCACAGTGTTCATTACATTGAACCAGCTATGTTTCCCTTCCAAGAATGGTAATTCCTCACCTTGTGCAGCCTTATATAAGAGATTAATTTGCAAGGATTCATTACCTCTGATTTAAAATTTATTTTGTATCCTACTTAGCTGAATATGTTTGTTGATAGGTGTAAAACTGCTGTCTCTCTGTTGAAGTTTCCTTCTTCCCCCATTTTAGCTCCTTTATCCCACAATGCTCTTGCAGCTCCTCCAATCTCCTACACCCTCTTTCTGAGCAGATTCTCCCACCTCAGATGTGTCAACAGAATTCCATGACATTTGCCTGTCAACAGCATGCAAGGGACAGGAGCAAACTGTCACCATTTCCTTCTAATCAAATTTGCAAGGGCAACCTTTCTCCCAATGATCACACCATTAGACTGAATTTTCTGGGGCAATTTGAGGATATTTCAGGAGCAGATCTGTCTGCCACCCCTGTGTATTTTAAGCATTGGATCAGCCTGTAGCACTCTTGGCCTTAAAGCCAGGGAAGATTCAGATTTATGAGTCACTCAAATGTCTTGATAATAGAACCCAGGCTTGTACTCCCAGTGCAGCCAGCAGAGCACGATACACTTGGAGGTGTCATCTTTTGGAGGAAATCTCAAACCACGCCTGCTCCCTCAGATGGCTGCAATTGATCCACAGCTTGATTTGAAGATGACTAGGTCAGTTCTCCCTAATGCCTTGACCATCATTGATTCCTCAAACAACATTTGACAAAAATCAGGTAATCTGGTCATTACCACATTGCTGTATGTGTCATAAGTTACATAGGACTTTTAAAACATCGTCATGTTGTAAGGTAGTGAACAATCCTGTGTCATTCCAAGTTTGTGTTGCAGAACAAAGATATATTGGTGGTAACACTCAGCTATGAAACCAGATGCAAACTCCCATTGGTTAAATACTGTTGACTCACCCACTTTAATGTACTGTCACTAATGCCAATCTTCTTGACCTAGACCATTCCCATAAAGTGCAAATATCAAAATAGATTCTGATTCTAAAGAATGCAGGATTGTTTTAATTGGTATTGTGGCAAGAGGAAATAGTAGGCACCCAATAATAGCAGAACTGGAATAGGCAGGAATGCAGAGAATCTACTCTTCATTGCTCTGATAAGAAGTGCCTCAACTTCAAGGTGAGTGTGAAGACACATGCACTCTAGATAAAGGATAGCTATTCAAGTAACACACTGGAAATTAGCTGAAGACTATGAGCCAAAACCTTTCTGAAGAATGAGAGGGGGAAGAAAGGGTGGAGAATTAGCAAAAAAAAATTCAAATTGGAGAGTGTTGCCACTAGCCACAACAACCATTTAAACAAAATAAAAACCAAAAGAATGCGGATGCTGTAAATCAGGAACAAAAACAGAACTTGCTGGAAAAGCTCAGCAGGTCTGGCGGTATCTGTGAAGAAAAAAATCGGAGTTAATGTTTCGGGTCTGGTGACCCTTCCTCAGAGCTGATGGTAGCTGGGAAAGTGTGGTTTATGTGCAGAAAATAGGAAGGGGGATGGGGTAGGGAGTAAACAATTAGGATTGATCCTGAAGAGAGAGAAGAGCTGATGGATAGAAAAAGGTGATAAAGATCTGGTTAGGAGGGTAAATAGTTTAAACAAGCATCCAGACAAGAATCTTATTTTGATCATGTGTTGCGAGGCAATATTCCAGCTCAACAAGGTTAGGGTCAGTGGCTGTTTCATTGTACAAGGTGAGTCACTGTTTATTCAATCAGAGTTTGGACCTAATTACACTGCTGGGTGTAACCATCAACAAATCAGATTTTACTCTGGAATCTGAGATAGTGGGAACTGCCGACGCTGGAGAATCTGAGATAACAAGGTGTAGAGCTGGATGAACACAGCAGGCCAAACAGCATCAGAGGAGCAGGAAAAATGACTTTTCGGATCTGGACCCTGAAGAAGGATCCAGACCCGAAACATCAGCTTTGCTGCTTGGCCTGCTGTGTTCATCCAGCTCTACACCTTGTTATTCTGGAATCTAATTTGCTATCATGGAGGATTGTGAACAGATTACTGTTTGCATGTCAGAAATCAAAGATTCGGCAATGGACAAGTTCAGACATTTAATCGTTTTTGTTTAAAAAGATGGTTATTTGGTTATTTAGTGAACCTAGCTGCACATAATTGGTTTCCACATTGCAACAGTAATTTTAAAACTTTGATTAGCTGAAAGTACCTCAAGACATCCTGCAGTTGATTTAAAGTATCATAATAAAATATAATATGAAATGAAGCTTTTTTCAACTCTCCCTAATTTATGTGAAAAAGAATTGGTAGTGCAGTGATAATATCATTGGATTAGTACACAGTTTCAAATCCCATCAGGCTTGCTGGTGGAATTTAATTCAATTAAATAATCTAGAATTGTAAGGTAGCTTTAGCAAACATGACCCTGACAGCTGTCCTCAATTGTTTTTAAAATTAAAAAAACCCTAAAATTTGCTGGTCATTATTTCATCTGCTGACTCAAGATCCAGTGTGATGTAATTGATTCCTATAACTGCTGTCTGAATAGCCGAGAAGACACCCAGTTTAAGGGAAATTAGGTGTGGCCAATAAATGTTGGTTTGAGGTTTGGGTGGGCACATTTAATGAACAGGCAGAGCTTTGAGGAAAAAACAAAATTGCAGGAGAAACTTAGTAGGTCTGGCAGCATCTGTGAAGAAAAGGCAGTTAACATTTTCTCATAGAATCCCTAAAGTATGGAAACAGGCCGTTTGGCCCAACAAGTCCACACTGACCCTTGGAGCATCCCCCTCTATAACCCACCTAAGCTACACATCCCTGAATACTACAGGCAATTTAACATGGCCAATCCGCCTGACCTGCAAATCTTTGGACTGTGGGAGGAAACTGGAGTACCTGGAGGAAATCCACGCAGACACCGGGAGAATGTACAAATTCCACAGAGATAGTCACCTGAGGCTGGAATTGAACCTGGGTCCCTGGTGCCGTGAGGCAACGGTGCTAACTGCTAAGCCGTCGTGCCACCCCAGTGAGTCCAGTGATCCTCCAAAATGATTTGGGCTCTTTTGTCCTCATTACAATGTTATGGAATCATAGCGTGCACTTGAAGAATATGAAAAATTATACAGTAACTGGTGACATGCTGGGGTCCACTTACAGCTTGCAGTGGCATTGATGCTCAAGGGTCAACTACAATGAAGCAAACATTCAGCATCTCCACAAGTAGCTGGTAAACCTGCAACACCAGGTTCAGCATTTATAAACCCACTCCCTAGTATCCATTGGTGAGTGAAGGGTTAACAAAACAAAAGAAGTTACAAGTTTCAAACAAAATTAGAAGATATTCTTGTCCTGCATGCACAGAGAATCAGAATTTTGGATTCTCGGTTCTAAAATTTATTTTGCAAAAGCTAAAAAGGCAATGAGTGAGAGTAGACAGGGGCATGGTATTGGGGGCAGTGGAGTAAAAGGGCCCTGCTATATTATTCATGATCCAAAATGACCCATTTTCACAAATCCAGTTTCTAAACTGTACACACCCTGAAATGCATCGAGCAGGGGGTCAGGGTGAATAATCCAGTTTACCAACATCAGTTCCACGAGGCGTGGGACTGCCTTTAGAAACCAGTTCTCTATTAAAGAGAAAAAGTGAACAGGAATCATGGACTAAAGCAATGACATATTCAAACAGCACGAGGATGACACCAAAAGCAAGTTAAACAATCAGGAATTAAATAACCTGGAACCACATTATGCACCTCAAAGCTGGGGTATCCACACTGGTCTAAAGAAACCTAGCTGACAACATTAGAGAGATGGGGAGAATTATTGACCAACCTGGGAGCAATTTTAAAGACACCTTACCACCAGGAACAAAACAGAAAATGACCAGTTACAGGAAAACTGAACAACGGCAGTGAGCAACTTAGAATTAGTCCCATCCGTGTGGTTCAGGAGTATGGGAAGAGTGGGAGAAACAGCCTAGTTTCCTGGCTGACAAGGATCAGACTGGGTTCAGGTGCTTCAGCACCCCATGGATGAATAATCTGTTTACTGCTAAGTTTACAGGGCATTGGGCAAAGATGACAGAGAGAGTGACTTCATACGTCTGCTAGAAACTAGTTTAAAAGAGAGACAGATAGCAGCAGAACCTCATCTCTGCTGCGCAATGTGTGGAGTGGATTGCAGCAAGCTGGGGAATGGGATCAGAAGATGGATTTTGAAATAAAATTGATACCTTTTTATGTTTTTTTTCTTCACACTTTTCCTTCTGCTTCTTATCCTTGTCACAGGACTTGCCAAAATCTGGTGCCAAAACAAGGAGAATATTTCAGAATTTAACTAAACAATTGTAAAATACCTCACAGAACATACCGTTGAATATTGAAAAGACCAACAGAATGCAACATCTTGCTGGACAAAGCAGTGAGTAACAAATAAGTGGGCATTGGATGGTCATTTGGATATTAAAGGTGTGCAGTGATTTGAAGAAAAAGGCAGGAGATTGGTACTAGAAAATAGAGATGGCGCAGACACAAGTCCCGAATGGCCTCCTTCCATGCCGTAGTAATTCTGTGAAGATAATGTGGTGCTGAGGACAACCACACCCATGAAGTGAATCATGTTGGAATGTTTAGGGTTTGCTCACTACCTAAACACACAAGAGAACATGGTCTGTAAAGATATGGGACACAGCACATCTGCATAAATGGCCACATTAGCCAGGAAGCTTCTGGGTGTGAAGAATGCAGCCTCACTCTAGCTGTTGGAACCACTCCCTGTTCCCACTTCACACTTGCTCAAATTTGGAGTTGAACAACATTTTGTCATGGGCAAGGTGTGCTGCAACTTTGCTAAAGAATCTGACATTCATTTATCCAATCAGTAACATAAAGTATCTTTGGGAGTGACCGAGTCAGACCAACAAACTTACTATAGGACTACTCTTGCCTTGGAGAGATGACTGGTGATGCTTTAACCCAAGGGTCATCATGCCTCAGTCGAGGGGAAAGGTTGAGAAGAATTGAACTCATGCTGTTAGTGTTACTCTGTATTGTATACCGGCTATTGAACCAACTGAGCTAACCTATTCTTAGAAAGTAAATTTTAAAAAAACACAGAGATAGACAGACAAATGGAGAGGAGAGATAAGAAAGGCTGACGAGAAAGAGCTGTCTACACTAGAACACTAATGGTGAGCTGAGCAGAGAGGCTGTGTTGATGTAGGTGCATTCTGTAGTCATGTCAACCCCACCAACACAGGCAGGAACGAGGTTTAAATCCAAGCAACAGAAACCCAAAGGTTAAAATAAAATCTCCTTCACCCAACAAGGGGTTGAACATGAATACATTAACATGCCCATTAACAATGAGATGAATAAACGTGATATTGTGAACTACTTTTGATTACATTGTTAAGGCATCTCACAGCATGTGGCTCCTTTTAGTCCTGTCTTACAGGACAATCACAAAGGCATTGCCACCTTACCAATTGGAGCCCTGGACAGGACACTTCTTTCATTGAGAAGGAGGCAGTGAACCATCCCAAGCAATCCACACCATCAGCTCTTGTGGCACAGCGATAATGCCCCTATGTCTGAGTGATGAGACTTGGCTTCAAGTTCCACCTACCCGAGTGGCGTGTAACAACCTCTGAATGGGTTGATTTTTTTAATCAGCTAAAAGGCTTTATATATTTTGCTATTAAAGTTCTTGAGAGAAAAAAAAACAATTACTCACCTCAAGATATTGATTACCCTGATCTTTAGAACACCAGGGGCCTTTACTAAGGAATAGGGAAGATTACAGATATGCAATCAAATCATTCACGCACTGGGTAAGGAATAGTTAGAATAAACACCAGTGTTTAAGAGGAAGTTGGATTGCATTTTTGTGAATAAAATAACTGGATGTGTTAATGAACTCCATATGAAGTCCTCCTGTTCCATACATTCCTAATTGCTCAGGTTCTTCTGCATTAAATTTCTTCTTCAGCATTCTAATAGCCTCTGAAAGAAGCGAATTTCCTTCTGTTCCCTTTCTTTACTCAGGACAGCGACATGTGGACCTCACATTGATTACCCCAGTGTTATCACTGCATTGTTCGAAGTAGCCTCTGACTTTGCTCCCCTCTATCAGATGCCATCAAACAAGCAGAGGGGACGCTGCTTGGCTGAACAACCTCTGCAAACCAGTATGACTTAAAGAATTTTCAAATTTATTCAACTTTCCTTTAAAATAAAGAATGCTGATTTAAATGTTGTAAGACATTCGAACGAGAGAGAGAGAGTACAGAAACTGGGGTTGTACTTCTCTGGACAGAGAAGGTAAAGATATTCAAAAATGATAAGCATTTTGATGTAGTAAATAAGTCGTAATCAGAAGGAGCAAACTGAACGTAATTAAGAGAAAACCACAGACTGTAAGTCTCTTTGAACATTTAAACAGTGAGTTTTTGTGGCTGAAATGTACCCTCTAAATAGAATGGTACCTTTCAAAAGGAAATTGGATAAATGCTTGAAGCACAACGAATTGGAGGTCCAATTGAATAATGGGACAGCTTTAACAAGCTGCACGATGGGCTGAGAGTGGCCTCCTTCTGAGCTGTCAAAGTCTATAACTAAAATAAAGACCAGCAGGCTAAAACTTTGTAACTTTAGAACAGCCTGTTACTTACAGCAGTTTGCTAGTCTTAACTTTCATGAGACTACAACTAGATATGACTATTTGTGGGAGGAACTAATGCCCAGTTACTGAGTCCCATCCCACTAACATCGACACTTACCCATAATTAAGATTCTTTCTCCAAAGTCCCACTCAGTGAACACGAAGACAGCAGACACCCAGGTTTTCTAAAACTACTTGAAGAAGTTCTGTTTCTACTTGGAAGGAAATCGTGTGTACAAAAGGTGGAAGCACCTCAAACCTCCTCGACTGGGAAATGTGGTAAAAGCAGTTGGAGTTAGATAATAAAGGGTGGTGACTGAAGGTGTGGTCAAAATATCATGTTTATTGATACGTTTGTAATAAGCGTCCAAAGTACAAATCAAGAAAGTGTCCCATTTGTCATCTGAGCAAAACATTGCTCATTAATACATTTCTAACCAGATGAAGTATATTTCAGTGCAATGTTAACTATATCACAACAACACACATAGCCATAAAATCAACTGAAATAATAATTGTTGAAGCCATCCTTTATAAATTCAATCCCACTTGTTTAGTTGGGCTTTTGTTGGCTTTAATGTAAAGGATTTGCTTGACTGACATTCAATTATTCTCCCACTTCATGCACTCCCTTTTTTTAATACGTGCTGCATTGTTCTGATGGGTGAGTGCACCAACAATCATGGTATTTAGTTTTAAAAGAAATTCCGTCAAACAGGAGATATAATTTACATGAGATAAGAAAACAGGTACAAAACCATGAACTGGTCTCAACCAGTTTGGGAACATCACCCAGCAAAACGGACCTACCTTAAACCCCTCCATATTCCCTGCTTACAACCAGGCTATGGCTTCTTGAATAACTGTCATGATGATTAACCTGCATTCCCTCTGGGAAATTGTGCCTATTAGAGCTTTTCAAGGAAGTCTTTCTGATCAGAACATCTACCGAGGGTTAGTCTCAGCATCCGTCTTCCCACACACTCAGTTCACCCACCACTGCCCTGAGTAATCTACCAATGGTCAATAAATATCAGGCATCTCCAGATTTCTCTGTCCAATTAATAAATGGACAAAAAGCCCTTAGAACCTCCTAAATAAGGCTCTGGATGCCATGAGCTGCAGTTACCGTCTGTAACTGGCCATCATTTGATAGTAATCTGGACAATGCAATGCAGCTGATTCCCTCACTAAGTGTACATTATCCCTGAATCTTCCCACAGTGTAACCCTTTAGAATTAGAATTGTCTTTATTGTCACATGTACTCAAATGAATACAGTGAAAAGTTTACAAGTTGCCACTTACGGCGCCATCTTAGGTACAAATGTACCTATGTACAGATTCTTAAGTATAAATTCTTAAGGAAAAAAAAACAAGAAAACTAAATAAAATATCCAGCATTACAGATCATAGGAATACATTAGAAAAATAAAGAAATTAAAAGCTCAGAATAAACAGTATTTCCAATCAAGTCCACATCTAGTCTGTAACAGGTTGAGTTAAATGCACACAAAATGGAAATTGGCAAGACCTTTCTTATCTTTATCCATTGGTGGGATATGACTACGCTACCCCCAAAATAAGTAGGAGACATTTTTATATAAGAGGCTTTAAACATTCAAGGACTTTTAACAGTAATTATAACAGGATGGTACTATGATTCAGTGTCGCAAGTGAGCAACATTGGAATCTTTGCTTAATTGTTTTTGTATTTCAAATAAAACAGACACTGAGCTTTGAAACTTCCAAAATTGAGACATTGGTCAGAAAATTCCCAATATGTGTTCTACGTCTAATCTGACAGGGAACATGCTCCATTAACAGATTGCACTGCAGTCACTCGCCAAAGCTTCGTTGACTTTCAACTGGGTGGCACAGTTGTTCAGTGGTTAGCACTGCTGCCACACAGTGCCAGGAACCCGGTTTGATTCCGCCCTTGGGCGACTGTGTGTGGAGTTTGCACATTCTCCCCATGTCTGCATGGGTTTCCTCTGAATACTCAGGTTTCTTCCCACACAGTCCAAAGATGTGCAGGTTAGGTGGATTGGCCATGCTGAATTGTCCATAGTGTCCAGGGATGTGCAGATTGGGTGGATTAGCCATGGGAAATGCCAGGCTGCAGGGATTGGGTAGGGGCGTGGGCCTGGGTGGGATGCTGTTTGGAAGGTTGGTGTGGACTCAATGGGCTAAATGGCCTGCTTCAACACTGTAGAGATTATATAAACCTGCAACCTCCATCAGGGAAGTGTGGAAGCTTAATGAGAACACCTTCCACATTAAAATGGGTTTTTTTTATGGATCAAATTTCTGGACCTTCCGACTCAACAGTACTGGATGTGCATGAAGACTACATGGACTGCCATGATTAAAAAAAATGCATTCAGCAACAGCTTCTCAAGAGCAACAAGAGATGGACAATAAATGCCAACCATGTCCCCAATCTCCAGCAATATTTTTTTTAAATGATACTTGTACCAATACATCATCTGATCCAAAAGTGTTTTACTTAGTACCTATTTCACAACACAATCTTCTCTTTTTAAACAAATAAACTATTAAAGGGAACAGGCGCTTAATGAGCTGTCATGTTTCTAGGGAATTGCACTCTCAACATGGAGAAAGATGGAGATTCTCATATTGAAAACTAATTTCCATCCTATTAGAGATGAGGGGTCATTTCTGTTAATTCCTTGTAATCACTCACTAGAATTGTAAATTTAGAACTGAGGCAACCTCCTGCCTCACTCATTTTCTATTTGGCAAAGGTTGCCACTTACAAAACTATTTAAGACAGGCTACAGAACAACATTCTTTCTTTCATGAGCCAGAATAGTGTTAAACCATTAAGATTTCAGTTGCCACAGCCTAATTATTTGACAGACTTGTGTTTTGTTTTTGAAAGTGGAAAATAATGTGAAAGAATTAATTAGAAGCTGAATTACTGATCAATGATTAATTCAAAGATTGTGTTCTCTGGAATTTAGAAGGTTAAGGGTGGATTTGATTGAAATATTAAGGGAAGCTGATAGTGAAGAAATTTCTCTTGCTTTATCCTGATTGGAGACCCTACTAATAGGGTACAAGGTTTAAACATTATAGCCAGAGCTTTCATGAATGAAATGAGGAAATGCTTCTGTATCCAAAGACTAGATGTAATTTGAGATTGATAGGTTTTTTTTGTTATTCAGTGGTATTACCTTTCACAAACCCAATATGTCCCAAAGTGCTTTTCAATCAATGGAGGTGAAGTCCTATCTCCACATTGAGACACCTTACATCGTGTTGTGTGGCTCTATCACTGTGCTCAATGGGATAGACTTTGAGAAGATATATCAATGCAAGACTAAGGACCCAAGAGGCACAGTGGGTCATCAGCAGCAGCCAAATTTTATTCAACCACAATCTATAACCTCATGGCCCAGCAGACTCCCCACTGTATCATCAGCGTCCAGCTGGGAGATTAACCCTGGTGGAATGAACAGTGCAGGAGGGCATGCTAGGAGCAGCACCAAGCATACCAAAAGAATGAGGTGTCAACCTGGTGAAGTACAACAGGTTACTTGTGTGTAAAGCAACAGGAGTAGCATGCAATAAACTAAAGTGATCTCACAACATTTGGATCAGATCTAAGCTTTTCGGTCCTGCCGTATCTAGTGGTGAATACTTAAACAACAATCAGGTGGAAGGCAAATATGTTGGACGTGAAGGGCTTATGCTGGTTACAAGAACAGGTTAGAGACCAGGAATCCTGCAGCAAGTAACTCACCTCCTGACTCCCCAGAGCCTGTCCACTATCCACAAGGCACAAGTCAGGAATGTGATGGATGAGTGCAGCTCCAGAAACATGATAATCTGACACCATACAGCACAGAGCAACCCGCTTAATCAGCACCATGTTTACCACTTCTAACAATCACTTCCTTTGGATGAAAATACCCAAAAGATTGAGGTAGAAAATGGTATTTGGGGCAATTTGATACATTTGACACCCTGTCTAACTTCTTTAACACTGTCAGGCAGCTGAATCCAATCTTACTTAACCGAAGAAATTACTCCTTTTCCTTTTACCTTTTGCTCTGGTGTCCCCCAAAAATCTATCCTTGCCCCTCGGTCACACCATCCAAAGTCAACATTTGTTTCCAGTTGTGTAGTATGATATCCAGTTCTACTTCACCATCACCTCTTCCAAGCCCTTACTTCTCAGAACGCTTATTTGGCCAGTAAATTTCCTGTATTGGTTGATTACAATTTTCCTCCAATTTATTATTAGGAAGTCACAATCCAGCATTTTTGCCACAACTTCAACTCCCTCATTACTGAATCTGTCTTGTTCCCTGACAGCTGCCTAAGTCTTGAACCAGTCTTTTCACAGTTACTACCATATTTGATCCTAAAATTAGCACCATGACCAAGACACCCATTTCCACCTTCGTAATTCACTCGACTTCATCTCTGCCTCCACTAAACTGGTGCTGAAAGATTCATCTTATCCCTGGGTTACTGATGCATTCAATCTGATCCCATAACCTTCAGAAAACCTGAGATCATTGAAACTCTGCTGTTCATGTCCTAACTCACACCAACTCATCCATTTGTTATTCTGCTGCTCCTAGTTAAATAACACTTAGATTTCAATATTCTCATCCTTGTTTTCAAATCACTCTCTGGCCTCACTCCACTCCATCTCTGTAATCTCCCCCAACCCACATTCTCTGGGATCTGGGCATCACTTTATTTCTGTTCTCTTGTACATCCGCTGGAACTCCTCCACACTGATAGCTCCCTGGGAATTTCGTTCCAGAAGCTCTCACCTTCCATTTGTTCCTTTAAGTAACCCTCAGACCAGACACCTGATCATCAGCCAGGATGTGTGGCTAAGTGTCACATTTTGGTTGATAACTTTCTAGCACAACATTACTAGGTTGAAAAGGCATTATATAAATGCACATTGATTTGATATGGAACAAAGACAAGGGTGCAGAGAGATAATCAGTCAGGAGGCCTAATGACCTCCCCAGGTTTTAAGAGAGAATGGAATAAGTTGAGTAGCTCTCTTCAGAAAGAGGTAACAGGGGCAATGGGCTGAAGGGCATCAGGCTGAGCTGATTTTTTGACAATTGCCCGCAACTCACAGCAACCAATCCCATGAGCAGAAACACAAGAAAGACAGCAACTCTTAAATCTTATCTTTACATTGCCATAATTATAGGATTTCTAGAATCTACAAAGAGGAGTTTGCAAATCCAATATGATGTGACCCATCATTCGAATCATATCAGGTAGAAAAAAGGCAGATACGGC